GTTCAATTATAAGGTTTGTGGAGCTCCAGGAGCAGTCCATTCCTCAAGTTCGGTGTTATAGCGGGAACCGGGAGCATGTTAAATCAAGAAGTCAAAGGAAGAGAATTTCAAGAACAAGGGACAATCAATAGTAGCTAACTGTCAGGATGACCACCAGACTGAAGCATGGCCATGGGCTCTAGTGAAGTGGAGGCCACCTGTAATATTAAATGGCTGTTTCAGTGGAGGAAGGAGCAGGAAGTAAGGAAAACACAGCAATGGACACAAGGGAACTTTTCCTAACGAATGTGACTCTGATTTATTGCTAATTTCACAGTAGAAACTTTCTGCAGCTATGGTGTCCTAATTACAAAGTAAAATTACTTGGCATCTGATGACTCAAAAAGTCAAATAATAATTATTCCAACTTAAAAGTAAAACTTTCAAACTTTTTCAAATTGCCAAGTCCTAATTATGTCAGGGCAATTGCAATTTCTCACAGTCAATCAAAGGAAGTACAAATTAGTAGTATTTGGCTCAGACCTCAACCCTCAATCCAGAGAGACACATAAATGCTTATCTTGACTCTCCTAATGATGGTTGGAAAGAGATGTGGGCAATGGAGACTTATTTCTTCATTTTTTTGTTATTACTGTTTGATGGTGTTGAGGTTTGAACTCAGGGCCTTGCATTTACTAGGTATGTGCTCCACCAGTTGAGCCACACCTTTAGTTCTTTTTCCTTTGGACATTTTTGAGATAGGGTCTCCTGTTTATGCCTGGGCTGTCCTGGGCCACAACACTCCTATTTACACCTTCTGTCTGGCTGCGATGACAGGTGGACACCACCATTCTCAGCTTTTTATTGGTTGAAATGGGATCTTGTGAACTTTGTCCGAGGCTAGCCTCAGACTGTGATCCTTCCAAGTAGCTAAGATCACAGCCATTAGCTACCACGCCCAGTAGTGTTTTTCTTTTTAATAGAAGATAGGTGAATATATTACAAAGAGGATATAAATAACAGTGAGTTTTCTGAGCAGAGATAGGTATAGAAAGGAGGATAGGGTTAATGTGTCTGCAGATACTCAGCAGTGACTGATAACAGGAATCTGAGGGAGTTCCTATTAACTTTTATTTCAGTTCTTTGAATTGACATTTACTGACTTCCTAATATGATTAATTCACTTGAGATACAGAAAAATGGCAAGAGATTCAAGGTCCTTACTCTCATCGAAATTGAATTTTTTTCATGTTGGCATTTATTTATTTTATTATTGTGCTGGAGAAGTGTTGCGACATTTACAAAAGTTCTTATATCATAGTTGAATTTCCCCCCTCCATCATTCTCCTTTATCTTTCCTTCCCCATTCCTGGAAGAATTTCAACAGATCTCATTTTTCCATTTACATACATGTGTACACAATATTTCCACCATATTCACCCTCCTACACCCTCTTCCCACATCCTCCCTCCTCCCACTAGTACCAACCCCCCAGACAGGACCTGTTCTGCCCTCCTGTTCTCCTTTTATGTAAAAAAAAAAAATGACATTTTTGTTTAAGATAGCTATATATTGATTTCCTTGTGACATTTCCATATATATATATACACATATATATATACATATATATATACACATATATATATATATATACATATATATATATACATATATATATATAACTCAAATTGGTTCATCTCTATTTTTCTCCTTTCTACCTTAGTCCCCTTCTTATGGTCATTTAAACAGCTTTAAAAATTCTATATTCATTTTTGCATAGAAAGTACATCAACCATATTCACCTTTTTAACTTCCTTCTTTTACCCTCTCTCTCTTGTATGTGACCTACTTTTTATAATATTGCTTGTAAAATGTGGTATTTATATACACTTGAATTTTATTCAGCCATAAAAAAGAATGAAATTTTGTCATCTGCAGATAAATGGGTGGAATTGAAGAACATCATCTTAAGTGAAGTTATCCAGGTCTAGAAAGCCAAAGGCCACATGTTTTCTCTCATATATGAAATATAGATCATTGAAACTGAATTCTAAAGGATGGGTTTAGACATTAAACATTAACAGATTTGAGATATACTTTGGAAGCTGAGCTGGCATGGCTTGCTAAGGGATTATATGGAGAGAGAAAGGTTTCTGCCTAGGTGAATCTTCTATCTACAGTACCCCATCTCCTGAGGGAAAAGGGGTGAAGGAAGCAGATGATGTTTAGAGGTTGACACCAGTGTTGAAAGATTCAGATAGTTCTTTCAGAAAACTGGCAAATGAACTGGGAAAATGTTGGATTTACAAGCAATGCTGAGGTTTCATTTCATCTTGGTGATCAAGAATTCACAATGGAACCAGTGTTCCCTAGGACTTTCCCCTGTCCACTTTCAGTAGTTCAGGGGCAGCCAGCCACAAGACTGCTATAATGACTATCAAATTCTTTACCAAACCCACAAATTTGTGTAGACATCATTGGCTAGGAAGAGCACCTGACCCATGCTGAGCAAAGAGAACTTTCCTTACATTTTTGGACTTAACTTAGGATGAAAGAGACACCAGCATTCTCTTGTTGCAATTCTCAAATTTAAGAATAAAGCATTTTCAGTGGCCATATTTCCTACAATATGGCAAAAGCAAGGGACAACACAATAATAATGGAAAACACATATGGGCCTGCTGTGTGCTAGGCGAAATTCTAAGCATCTATCATATGGTAGCCCCTTAGTGCTCATAACAAACTTATGAAGTGGGTGCTACCATAATGTCTTCACCTTATTGATAAGGAAACTGAGGCACAGAGAGGTTGAATTTCTTGCCTAAGTCACAGCATGTAAGAAATAAAGCTAAGATTTAAACCATGTCTGTTAATGCTGGTACCCATGTTCCTGCCCACTGAACTCTGCTGCTTTACCTAAGACAGTGGGAAACGCTTATTGAAACTGAATTGATTTGAGTTCTACTCCCAGTTGTATTCCTGTCCTTTTCCTTCTTTGAGTGCTTATTCCTTTCATGGTTCCTCTTAGTCAAACCTTTTTCCCTTTCCCTAAGCTTATTCATATGAGTTTTTGTAACTTGGAACAAGAGTCCAAATAAAAACTGGGCCTCAAAAGTTACATAGTTCACTGACATCCCTCAAATGTGGAACACACTGAGTGGGGTGGGTTATTGAGCCATAAGGACTATGCTGTACTTGACTTGGAAGCTAGAGTCTTGTAATAAAGCAATAAATTAATCAGTTATCACCTGTAATCTCTTAGGGTTTGGAACACATGTCCATTAAGGCTCTAAATTTAAGCAACTTGGCATAAAAAAAAGAAGATGGTTGTTAGCTTAAACAAGATGCTACAGATGCCATGAGAAAGAAGCCCACAATAGACATTCTGAGCAGGATAGTTCAGAGCAGGACATTTCTTCATTTCAGGACAGTCATTCTTATCAGATTGTTGAGCAATTAAACCATGCAGAACAGGAACAATATGCAGATTCCAAAAGTAGGTGTGTGGATGCAGGTATCATGAGAAGCAGAATACTGTAGAACAGGTTATTTAATGAATAGGTCCCTTTACTTCCATTCAATTTCCTCCTTTTTTGCACCATATTACCCTAAAGGTAATACTTCCCTCTGTAAAGCATAATCATCAGGGAGTCTCCTAAGAGCATTCTCTTGCTCAAGTTTTAGGGTAGATAAACCAGTTTTCTTCACCCTAACCCAACCTCTGGTCCAAGTCTTAAGGAAAAAGCCTCAAAAAATCCCAGTGGAAAAGATAGGTTCCCAGGGATTCTGAGAGAATTCTAAATTATAAACAGGTGAAAACTTTCAAATGAAACTTGTATGCCACTTTCTAGGGGGTTAAAATATCTGTTGCAGAAAGGCTCCAAAACTGGAGACCTGTGATCGTTGACCTACTAATTATCTCACCCCCACTCCTACCCAATCACCCTCATTTTACAGCAGCTGTGAACTGTGAAGATAATCAGTCCTCAGGGAAGGAACGATACATTGGCCTAGTAGTGGGGTGGGAAGACTCTGAATGATGCTGGTGGTCAAATGTCTAAGGGATGAATGGGGGCACAGAAAGAAAGCAGTCAAAGAGGTCACTCACACTCTTGTTCTGCAAGGGTTAAATTATGACAGCCTTGATATTTTCTGACCTAGTATTTACTCAGGAGTAGGGCCCTTAGGAACTTTTAAAAACTTCCCCAAAGATTCTTATGCTTTTTGACGTTGAGAAACATGGCATCAGGAAGGCAACAAAAGATAAAGATCATAATGAGCCTCCTCCCCCTCTACTCATCACCATCATCATAAGGAGTACTCCAGCTACACATTTTTCCATTTTAGTTTAACTTGAATGACAAAGTTACCTATTTTGAATATGTTACCCATACCTTTATTTTATATAAATACTACTTTCTTCAAGATGCAGCTACATTTTCACCTCAGAACAGCTCTACCCACTCACAATAGTCCCACATCTCTTCAGCATTTGCCACCTTTGTAATTTATTTCTCAGGTTTTGAAATTGTAGCTTATGTCATTCTTTGCACTTTCCCATCTCTGACTCCTGCAGACTGTCTTATATCTTTCTTTATCACTTGATTTAGCAATCCTTTTCGTGTAGTTAATATTCCAGAAATTCTTGTTGCCAACTAATTAGTAAGTGATCTTCCTCCTAGTTCTTTTCTAATACTTTATTATTCTGTAATCCCTCTATTCCCTTTTCATCCATTGCCTGTCTTCAAATTGCTTTTCTTCTCACTTACCATCTTTGCTCTTGTCCTTGTCCTTCACTGCCCTCTCCTGTTAGGTCACATTCCTTTCTCTCTTTTACTTTCAATTATACTCAACACTTCAGGTCTCTCATTCTCCCTATGTTGATGTGCGATTACGTAATAACTTTTAATGACTTTCAGTTTGTGAACACTATAAATACTCAGCCCAGTTTGACATGCTGCAGAATCAAAGAAATCCATTCAGATGCACCCATCAAACACACAGGAAACTAGAAATTCATCATGAACACATCAGGAAAAGTAAGTACATTACCTTTAAAATATATAGAGATATATAGAGAGACATAAATATAGGTATCATCTATAAATATACACATTTATATGTATACCACAGATGATCTATACATCAATAATATGTGTATATATCATCATCATTAGATATCAAACAAGTGTGCATTGAAATAAAATTAAAACCTTGTTTTCTCCAATCAGATTATCTACTATTTTTAGTGATAACACCCAATGTTTCCCGAGTTATGGAAACACATGTACCACTGATAGGAAAGTAATTTGCTGGAAACATTTTGGGTAATATTATATCAAAAGCCTTGATAATTTGCCTATCATATGACCTGGAAGTTTATTTCAATAAAATAATTACATATGTTTTTAAGAGGCTAATAGTAGTATTATGTTAGAGTGTAACATTTGGAATAACATATATCAAAAATGCTAAGAAACTAGTAAATTAAGGTATATTAGTTATACCTTAGTGATCATTAAAAGTTACTTGTAAAATACTCATAATGCTAAGTGGAAAAGCAGGGCTCAGAATGATCAGATAAACATATGTCATATGCATAGAAAATACAGGTACAGAGAAATTGTTCTAAAATGTTAACAGTGCTAATAGCAGGAAACTTTCACACCAGTTTTTTCCACTTTACTTTTGTCTGAATAACTTAGCGTTTTGTGTTAAGTGTGTGTTTCTTTTAAAATTAGGAGAAATATTACATAAAGTATGTATTTTACATAAGCTAGGTAGGTGAAAGCAAAATCATTATATTTAATTATTATGTTCTCCAAATGAAGTAATATTTTCTATGTCATTTTATTGGAACCTCCTTGTGGCTTTTGTCCCTTGTCCTTATACTGTAAAGACATATATTATCTCCTCCACTGGAATCTAAATTTGATGAAGACATGACAGATTTACTTGGCTTTGTATACCTTGAAATTACTAGCACAGTTGTTGTACCTACAAATGGAACACAAATAAAAATATAATAACAAGTATCACCAGATTCTTATATATAGCAGAAAGTTAAACTATTCAAATCTTTGAGTTGCTGAAGTAAGAATGGACAGAAAGGGCTGGGGGTGCAGCTCAGTGGCAGAACACTTTCCTAGCATATTCGAGGCCCAGGGTTCAATCCCGAGGACTGAAAAAAAAATAGAAAGAAACATGGGACAATAGAAACACCCTCCAAAGAGAAACTTGTAAATAAAAGAATTTGATCTATAGCAAAAAGTGCTAATTTAAGCAGAAAAGACAGAAACAATTAGTCATCATTCAATCTAGGACAATTGTTTTAGATTCTAGTTTCATACCATACAACAGTGGTGCAAATACAGTGTACTCATGTGTGTAAATGAAAAAAACTGAGACCTGTTGAAACTATTCCAGGAATGGGGGGAGGGGAGATAAAGGAGAATGATGGAGAGTGTGAATTCAACTATGACTCATTGTAAGAACTTTTGTAAATGTCACAATGTACCCCCAGCACAATAATAAAAAAAAAATCAATCAATAATTTTTTCAAAAAGAGTTAAATGTTTAAAAGTCAAATTATAAAAATCTAGAAAAGAAGATAATAAATATTTGTTTGGTTTCTATACAGAGAGAATTTTCAAAATGTAGAAGCAGAATAAATAACAAAGGAAGAGATATTTTTATAAACCAAGATTTTAAAATATATGCATAATTTCACTCAAAATTAAAGATCAAAAACCAACAGGAGAAAAACATGTGAGATAAGTTGGCAGGTAGGTCACTTTAAGGTGTAAAGAATTCATATACATTAACAAGAAAAACAACAGGAAGACAATAGTTTCATAACATTTGTGACTGAGCATTCCACAAAGGGGAAAAACATAACTCATACATGTGGAAAATCCAAGGATCATTTGCATTGACAGAAATACTAATGGAAGAAAAAATGAGCTTTTTTTTGCCTCAGAAATTGATTTAATGGTTACCATCAATTTAAATGGAATAAATGATAATAAAAACATTCTATTATTCTTCTAGGTAGTAAGTCAGGTGATTCAACCTTTCTAGAAAGAGACTTGGAAATTGACTCAGCCCTAAGAATGTCTTTATCTTTTCCTAACTAATTTTCACTGAAAGAAGCCAAGGAAGTAAAACTTATGAATGAAAGTGTACACCACAATATCCCTTATAATATAAAAACAATGGAAATAATTCCATATCCAAGTAATTATTGATGAAATAAATTAGGACACATTCAAATCATGGCATTATGATTTGATTATTATGGTTATAATAAATTTTTGAGGCTTTAGAAATATATTTTTAATTATCTTATCATTGTTGTACTGGGGGTACATTGTGACATTTGCAAAAGTGCTCACAATATGTCTTAGTGAAATTCACCCCTTCCACCATTCTCCCTTGTCTCCCCTGCCCCCATTCTTAGTTTCAGTGGGTCTCATTTTTCCATTTTCATATGTAAGTACATAATATTTCTACCATATTCACCCTCCTTTACCCTTTCCTTATATTCTCCACCCTCCCACTAGTATCCACCACTGAACATGATCTGTTTTGCCTTCCTGTCCTTTGATTTTGAAAAAAGATATTTTCATTTGTTTAAGATATCTATACAGAGTTTTGTTATGACATTTCCATGTATATGTGTATTTTATCCTGAAATGGTTCATCTCCTCCATTTTCTCCTTTCTACCTTAGTCCTCTTCTTGTGATTTCAACAGGTATAAAAATTCTATCTTCATTCTTGTATAGAATCAACCATGTTCACTTTCTTTACTTCCTTCTTTTACCCATGCCTTCCCCTTGTGCCCTTCCCTTAGTGTGACCTGCTTTTCATTCTTGTTCTTCGTTGTTTAGGTGTCTGTTTGTTGGTCATGGTGTTTTGCCTTTGTATTTATGATACCTGTACATGCACCGTGCTTAAGTCAATGTAATATCCTTCCACAGCACTTCCTCGCCCTTTTGCTCCTATCCTGTGTTGTTTAACAGTTTTCATCATGCTAACTTTGAAATCACAAGAAAACTTTACATCAGGTAAATAGTAACTGTTCAATAAATGGTGGATATTATTAGCAAAAATCGGAGTGTACACTCACTTAGATAAAAATTAAAGTAGATAAAATTGTTTCAAATAACTAGAAGGAAACATACTAAATTTCCAGCATCTTATGTTTGAAATTAAAGATGCTTTTTTTCTTTTTATGACTTTTCTAGTTTTAAAAATTATAACAAGTAGAAGTCATTTTTATAATCAGAAAAAATAAGTGTTAACACCAAATATTATTTTCTGCAGGCAGTCACATGCTGGGCAGCCATTGCCTGGAAAAAAATTTCTCCTCTTTCAATTGAAGAAGTGCAAGTTGAGCCACCAAAGGCTGGAGAAGTTCATATTAAGGTAAGTTTAAGTGTTTTGGTCTTCACCTTTGGAGAGAAATAAACGGAAATCATGTTGGATTAAAAATCTAGATGTATGAATATATTATTTAATTTGCATTTTAGATGGTCCTTTTTTCTTAGTAAAAGGAAAAGGTTTAAACTAAAATAAATGAATAATGTTAATGAGTATCTAAGGGTCTTTGCTGTTTGGTTTGTTGGTTGGGACTTGAGACAGGGTCCATGATGCAGCCCAGGCTGCCATGGCACTCAGAATCCTCCTCTCTCAGCCTCCAAAGTACAAGGTTTATAAGGAATGTGCCTTGATATCAGATGAAATATTCTTAGTAACTGTAAAATATTGGTAATTCAATTATCTATTATCATTATTTTTTAATTATTGAGATTCTTACTTAAGTTATATAATATCATAGGCCTATATATTTTACAGTGTGACCTAGAATGTTTTCTAAGTTTTACTTTTTTTTCAATTTTGAGGGGACAGGATATGTATTTCCCCATACTTCTATGGTACAAATTTCATACTCAACAAATGCACATGCAGTGATTAATAGACTAATTACTCTATTTTTTTGTGCTCACACATTAGAATAATCTCAGAAAACTCATCTGAAAGGGTGTACTATAAGATAAACTTCATCTTCCAGTAATGAATGACTAGTGATGGCTGCCAAAGTTATTTCAAAGATTTAATAACTATTGAAAGAGCTTACACCACAGCTGAAAAAACAGAGACCTAACAATGACCTCTTGCCACTCCCAAATCAAAGAACCATTGCATCTCAAACTTTACAAAGTCATCAAATAACCAAGATTAGGAATGCTGATTAGAATCTCACTGTCTCACTCTACATAGTGCTAGTCACTTTTCTGTTATAATTGTGAAGTACCTAAGACAGTGAGTTTATAAAGAAAAGCCTATTTTTGCTCATGGTGTTGCAGGTTTCAATCCATGATTGATTGGACACATTGTTTTAAGCCTCTAGTGAGGCAGCACATCATGTGAGGGACGCTAGGCAAAGCAAAACCATTCACCTCATGGCCAAGAAGTGAAAAAATGATTGGCTCAGGGTCACACAATCCACTTCAGAGGCATGGTCCAATGACCCAAAGACTCCCAATAGGCCTCAATGTTTCCCACAAATTTTATTTACACACATTAACTGCACAATATGTGTGAGGGGGATAATGATGCTATTTCCAGATGTATGTATAATACACTTTGATCACACTCATCTCCTCTGTTACTCTTTCTTATCCACCTTCCTATACCCACCCTTTTCTTATTTTTTTTTTGTAATCTTCATGGGTTTCATTATGACATTTTCATAAATGCACACAACATTCTTTGATTATATTCTCTCCTTTCTTCCCACCACCTCTCTTTGATTCCCTCCATTTGTGTTCATCTGTTTTCTTTAGATCTAGCTTCTGCATATGAGAGAAAACTTGTGCAGCACTTGTGTTTCTGAGTCTAGCTCACTTTGTTTAACATGATGATCTCCAGTTCCACCCATTTTTCTGCAAATGACATAATTTCATAATAAATTGTGGTCAAATAATATTCATAATATAAATATGCTACATTTTCTTTATTCATTCATCTATTGCGGGCACCTAGCCTGACTCCATAACCTGGTTATTGTGTATACTGCTGTGATAAACATAGGTGTGCAGGTATCTCTATTGTATTGTAGTTGTTTCACTTGATGTACAGAGCCTTTTAATTTGGTACAATCTCATTTGTCAATTCTTGCTCTGATTTTCTGAGTCCTATTTTGAAAGTCATTGCCTGTGCCTTTATCTTCATCTGTTTTCCCCATATTTTCTTGCAGTACTTTCAAAAGCTTCTGGTCTCATATTAAAGTCACAGACCCATTTTGAATTGTTTTTTTTCAGGGTAAGAAATAGATATCTAGTTTGTTCTACATGTGGATATCCACTTTCACAGCTCTGTTTGTTGAAGAGGCTCTCTTTTCTGCAGCACATGTTTTTGGCTGCTTTGTGGAAAAACAGATGGCTGAAGCTTATTTTTGCATCTTCTACTCTATTCCATTGTCTACATATCTTTCTTCTGCCAGTATCATGATGTTTTTGTTACTATGTCTCTCTTTTACCATTTGAAGTCAGGTATTATGACACCTCTAGCATTGTTTTTTTTTTCTCAGAATTTCTTTGGTTATTCATGATCTTTTATGTCTCCTATGAACTTTAAGATTGACTTTTCTATTTCTGAGAAAAGTGGCATTAGAATTTATATGGGGATTACATCAAATCAATAGATTGCTTTCAATAGTGTATCCAGTTACACAGTCTTAATTCTGCTGATCCATGAACATGGAAGTCACTCATCTTCCAGTATCTTCAATTTCTTTTTTCAGTATTTCATCATTTTCATCATAGAGGTCTTTCACCTATCTAATTAGGTTTCCTAGATATGTTTTAGGATATTGTGAATAAGATTGTTTTCCTCATTTCTTTCTCAGCATGTTTGCTATTGGTATATAGAAAAGCTACTAATTTTTTGCATATTTATTTCGTATTCTGCTACTTTGTCAAAAGTACTTATCAAATTTAAGAGTATTTTTGGTAGAGTCTTTATGGTCTTTTAAGTATAGGATCGTATCATCTGCAATTAAGAATGCCTTGAATTCTTCCTTTCCTATTTGTATTCATTTTATTTCTTTCTCTTGTCTTACTGCTCTGGCTAAGAACTCTAACACTACATTGAATAGGAATGGACAGATTGGACACCCTTGTCTCATTCCTGACATCAGAGGACATGATTTTAGTTTTTCCCATTTTGTGTGATGTTGGCTATAAATTTCTCAAATATAGCCTTTATTATGTTGAAGTACATTCCCTTTATTCCTAGTTTCTTAGGGCTTTTATTATGAAGAGATCTTCGACTTTGTCAAAGGTTTTTTCTGAATCTACTGGGGTAATCATGTGATTTTTGTCCTTTGCTCCATTTATGTGATGTATTACATTTATTGATTTGTGTATATTGAACTATTCTTTCCTCCCTGGAATGAAACCAGCTCAATCATAGTGTATGATTTTATGTGCTGTTTGCAAATGTTTTTCTGAGAGATTTTAGGCCTAAGTTCACCAAGAGCAGGTTCCACTTCTTCGGGGTCCCACTATTTCATAACAGTACCAATCTGGGAGCCAAGTCTTTACCAAGACATCAAGGTCCACATGAGAGCGTGCATTAAATTCAACTACTTTTAAAATTTATCCCAATAAATTCAACACTTGATCCAAGCACTACAACAAACACAAGATGCTATGTACCTCTACTCCATATCGTATCTAAGTATAAGAGAAGAAGTTATAGGAAGTTGCTACAAGAGTAACAGAGAATAAGAATGAAGGAGACCAGGAAGATGCTAGGAAAGAAAAAGGTAGAAAAACAGATGAAGAATGAAAGACAACACAATAAAATAGGGGAAATAACAATAAATTACCAACTCCACATCTAGTGCTATGCTAAGGACTTTATTCCACTGATGAGAGAAAGGAAAAAATATAATAAAAAGTAATAAAAATTTACCAAAAGAGGAAGTTCAATAATTTATTTTAGCTAACTACTCTTTGGATGCAACATTCACTTATCATTTACCAAAGGCATTCAGTTAGTGCTCATTGTGTGCAAGGTCACCATCTACCCATGTGTTTAGTAGTTAAACAGTCACTGTTCTCTGCTCTTACTGATACATTCCTTGTACATAACTGCTATAACCTAGATAATAAATGCAGAATAGCCCACCAAAGTGGAGATTGCAGCATCAAGAACCTGAGCAATATCATCCTGCAATATCAAGTACTGGATATACCCATTGAGGTAGATGATCCCTCTCCTAGCTTATTCTATGGACCTCTGCCATAGAAAATTGCATATTGTCATTTGATATACAGAACAAACCTAATAAAGAGGTGTCGGTCTCTTGAATATTTAAAAGCACATTTCTGACTTTTTATAGCATATTGAAGCCATTTTTACACAATGAGAACTAAAACCATGTGTATTTCTAATTAGCATATCTTTTCACCCACTTGCTATAATCATTCCACAGTTGTCTCCAGTGTTGTGGCTACAAAATGCTGTCACTTTGCAGAAACACACTAGTGATTGTGCTTTTCTGGCAATGTTCCAGGTACAGCAGAAATACTTGGGCTATAGAACATGAAATGTTTCATTTTAAAGATCTAATATAATTGGTTTGGACCTACAACAAGCAAGATAACTTAGGTCATTAACTAAACCTCCAAACAAAAAATTAAATATTGCAATAGTTAGCTTACTTATCTTAATCTTGTTTTATAATATTAACTTAAAGAATATTTCATTGTACAAATTTAAAAATTTTTAAATCAGCGTACCCAAGGTATTGGACTTCACAAAATTGGGCCTAAAATTCTGTGTTCCTCAATGTTGGTGCTATTGATATTCCACCGACCTCCCAAAAAATACATATTGTGGGATAATTGTCCTTATATTTTAAAACTCTTTATGACATAGGATATATAAACTAGATTTGAAAAGATTAAGTCTATTAGCAGGTCTGAACATGAGCTATGTGAGTTTGAAGAAATCTTTGAATCTCTTTTTGCTCATCTCTAAGTTAGAGTTGAGAAGATTTGCTCTGTGTTCTTTCAAGTGTTGTTATAGAGATCAAGTAAGATAATTTTTGCCAAAAAATTTCAATATTCAAGCTGGGCTCCAGTGGCTCATGCCTATAGTTGTCAGTGCTCAGGAGGCAGAGATCACTAGGATCATGGTTCAAAGCCAGCCCTGGGCAAATAGTTCGAAGCCCTACCTCAAAAAAACCCATCACAAAAAAGGGCTGGTGGAGTGGATCGTGGTGTAGGCCCTGAGTTCAAACCCCAGTACTACAAAAAAATCTTAATATTCAGTCTCAGATAAAAGACAGAGACAAATCCCAAACCAATTAATCTTGGCCACTTAAATTCTTCTGCAGATGATATCTTCAGGGATTTGTGGTTCTGATGATCATGTCCTGAAAGGAACATTTCCAGTGAAGTTTCCTTTAATTCCAGGCCACGAAGGAGCTGGGATTGTGGAAAGTATTGGTGATAAAGTGAGCTCCGTGAAACCAGGTAGGAAATAGGGAGGCAAAATCTCCCCATAGCAGCATTCCAAAGAACTCCTCCTATACAGAAGAGGAAATTTTATTCATTAATATATTTATAAGAAATATAATTTTTGCTTTATATTACCCTAATTAATCATGTATCATGTGTTTGCCTCTAGAGTCTTCTAATTAATGACATATTTTGAGATCAAGTGTAATCAATGATTCCAGTAGTCCCACCACTACCACTTCTGTCTGATAATACCTCCAACAATTCAGTGGGGCAATGTCTGAGACAAGTCTGTATACCACAGCAAAATGTTAAGATTTTGGTTCTGACTGCTTCTTACATATATTTACATTCCCAGAATGCTTAGCACAATGCTTGTCCCACAGTTGGGATGAATTGAATGTTTGACAAATTAATGAGTGGCTTAATAAATTAGAACATAGAGCTTGATTTTTTAATTGACAGGATGACAGTGATATTTCAAATAATCAATAGAAAGCAATTACATTCTTTTCCCCAGTCACATCAAAATAGGATCTTCCTTGTTATTCTTAGTGTTCACATAGATTAAGGTATTATAAGAGTCCCACAGCTTGGAGCCAACTACACAAAAGTGATTTCAGGACATTCACGAAGCCATACACCAGTGTATTCATTTGGCAAGCAATTATGGAACACTTACCATGCATCTGATACACGGATAGTAGGAGGTCAAAAGTAAAAAGGCCTGGTCTGCATTTCTAAGGACATAATATAATAGGAGAGATGCATATTCTAACTCCTCTTGAGCTAGAAACAATCTAGTGGGAGTTTAGCGGGAAATGATAAGCATGAAGGAAAGAACAGACAAGAGAACAGAACTTCTCCAGAATCTGAGATCCAGTATCTTTGGATAGTTTTAGGACTAATGAAGGTAAAATGTGCCTAACCTAAATTTAACGAAATTTGAAGGAGATTTTAATGCTAGCTAAAGGAGTTATTCTGTGCAATAAACATTTGTAAGGACCAATAAAAAAACAGGTCTTTAAGAGTCTATAGTGACTGCATAGATTAATTTTCTTCCTAGACTTCACTCAGCTTGTCACCCTAGTGGCCAGGGAGTTAGATAATAATAACAGGACCCACAGGGAATATCTCCACATTGTTACCATCTGCCAAAAGAATAATGGGATTTTTGAAAACAGGAAAATTGGTTTCTTCTTCGAAGTAAGCATGAGTATTATACTGGCTGCCATCATTGTCCACATTTCAAAATGAGATTTTTGTAAATATATTATTGCATTTTTATTCCATTAACATTTTTAAATTATTGACTGTAACACTTTTTTCTTTATATAGGAGATAAAGTTCTCACACTCATTATTCCACAGTGTCGAGAATGCAACTCCTGCTTGCACCGCAAAGGAAACTTCTGCGAGAAGCAAGAGTTAGTAGATTTGTCCCTCAGCTTTTTATTAAATTGCTTATATTGTACACGCCTTGACATAGCTAATGGAGTCCACTTCCTCTCTTTGTAACTTCATATGTCTGTGTCTATGTCACTGTGGAACAGTGTTCTGCCTTCTTCTGGATTGATGCTGGATGGGACCTCCAGGTTTACCTGCAAAGGAAAGAGTATTTATCACTCTTTCCGTGTAAGCACTTTCACTGAATACTCAGTTGTGCCTGAGATCGCAGTGGCAAAAATTGATGATGCTGCACCTATGGATAAAGTTTGTCTCATAAGCTGTGGAGTACCTACAGGTTATGGGGCAGCCGTTCAGTCTGCCAAGGTGAGGAAGTTATTTATGTGTAAGCATGTGCCATAGTAATTTGCCTGGGGAAAAAAATCAAACCTAGGCCAATTTTTTCCAAATGGTTAAACTGGCATACGGAGCTCCAAACAGCTCACTAGTTTTTACTTGCTTGCTTGTTCATTTTCTTATCTACACCCATGCCCAGCTTTGAATGCTAACTAATATAAGCATGCCTTATGAATTTGAAGGTCACCCCTGGTTCCACCTGTGTGATTTTTGGACTTGGAGGAGTTGGCTCAGCCATTGTCATGGGCTGCAAAGCCTCTGGCGCCTCTAGGATCATTGGGGTTGACATCAATGAGAAAAAGTTTTCTCAGGCAAGAGCATTAGGAGTCACCGATTGTCTCAACCCTAGGAAACTCAAGAAGTCTGTTCAAGAGGTGGTGATGGAAATGATGGGTGTTGGTGTTGACTTTGCCTTTGAAGCCGTTGGGCTTGTTGATACCATGGTATGTAGTCTTGGGGCATACTGTGGGGTTTGCTGCCTGCCAACACTTGGGTACTAGTTAAATAGCTTCACATGTATGAGTATAAGCTCTCCTGGAAATATGCCTTAGTCCTGTGGACTCCAAATGAATACTGGAATGTAAACTCACTCTAAAGCAGTCATCTTGAAAATTCAATAACATATACCAAGAGATACGCAATTTAAACATACAAGAAGACATAATATCTGTATTCCTTTTCTCTGTCCCTAGCTCTTCATATCTATGAATTTTGTACTTAGATATGAGCATTATTGAATTCACATATATTTATCTGTGTCCTCTAATAGCACCATTCATTCAGCATAGTCAAGTCCTAGGGATATAGGAGTGAATGAAGTAGACACCATTCTCTTGATTCATAGTTTAGAGAAGAGAATATAGATATACACTGAACTGTGTACCTAATGTATTTGGCCAAAGACTCAGGGAAGTAGACAGGGATGTAAGTGATATGGAAGAAACAAATGAGGTAAATGGTGAAAAGATGGGGAGGAGAGAAAACAGGTTTCAGACCCAGAAAAGAAGCAAAATAGATATGAGGATATATGCTGTAGATCTGTAGAAAGTTGACTTCTTAAATAAAGTTTCACCTACATATGCATGTTTGTATTGTTTTACTGGAAATAATTTGGGGAAAGAAGCATGGCAAGTGAAAAGGTCATGCAAAGAATACTATGTGGCCTTTGAGCAAATAGGTAATTTTATTTAATACTCTACTTACTATTTACCTAGTAGTGTTCTAAGTATTCTAAGAATGATAGATCATTTAGTCTCTTATCATTAATAATGTTACAAACAAGGAAACGGTGCAACTTTCTTATGGTCACACAAATTGCAAAATCTGTGCTTTTTACCATTAAACTCTACTAGTTCTTTGAGATTCTCATAACTTATAGTGTTGAAGCTGAAGGTAAAGTAGGCTTTCCCCAGGAAGAGAACTGAAATCTAAGCCTTCAAGATTCCTTCTACTTCAAGGGCTATGAATGAGGTATGCTTATCATCATTTTCATTTTAGACTGCTGCTTGGGAATCCTGCAACAAGAGCTATGGTGTCTGTCTGATCGTTGGGTTGGCATCACCAGAGTCACAGCTTTCCCTTGAGGCAGCAAAGATTATCACTGGAAAAACACTGAAGGGTGTATGTTTAGGAGGTAGGTAGATGAATAGAAGACACAGTTGGTTACTCTCATAAGAGACCTTTCAACTTTGCGAAACCATGGAAGTCAAAGCTTCTCCCCTGAGGGAAACAGCCATATGATAAAGATGTCTAAAGATTCCTCCTATAATGAGTTGGTACATTTTACAAATTGATTTTAACTTAATTAAATACTGGATTTTTTTCTGTAGTTCAAATAAAAATTTTTCTCCCAAAAAAGTGTTTTTAGGTTTTCCCAGAAATGGCAGTAATTTGGTCAACTTTAGTTCTGCATTGTTGGACTCAAAGTTTGTTGTGCTATTTTGACAGTAATGCTTTTACATTATTATGTGCACTAACTTGGTGTTTTGACACTGCTTTTCATTCTCCCAGAAGAACCCTTATTTCTGGGAAATAATGACTAGCAGCTTAAACTAACACTCCCATTTCTACCCATTCGTCTGGTGGTAAGTTCCCAATGCCACTGTCATATGTATGGATAGAGAAGGGAGGAAATGGTTATGTATGCAACAATAACCCAGAAGGCAGGTTGATAGGGCTAGAGGAGTCATCCGTTTACCCCAGTAATTTGAATACTGACCCAGTTTTTTCTCCAAAGGGGTTCTTATAGTCAACAGCTTCTGAGGTACAATTAAATTATCTTTCATGTTTAATGACAAATTTTCAGAGGATATTTTACTGATCTCCAGGGCTGATGATTTTTTTAATCTTTCAGTTGGTTTGGTATTTCTCACATCTCATTACTGTAGCTTTTTTGTTTTGCAGATTATAAAACAAAAGATTGTATTCCCCAACTAGTGGCTGATTATCTGCAAAATAAGATTAATATAGATCCATTAGTAACTCATCAGCTGCCTTTTGACCAGCTACACAAAGCCTTGGAATTGTACCATGCTGGAGAAGTGTGAGTGTTTTGTTTGATGATTCCTGTATGCTGATAACTCACAGAGAAAATGACTCTTCAAACATTTCTAAGTGGCTTTGTGAGAAAGCTATGGCTACTTGGACCTTTGATGTCTTCTATATACATCATCTTGTTTCCTAAAGTTACCAGGATAAGAAATGGTTTTACGGGCAGGCTCCTCTTTAAAAAGGCCCACTCAATTTCAAAGAGATGTTTAAGATGTCAGTATAACACTGAGAATCATTCTATTCCACATCAGTCAATTATGTGTCATTTTTCTGACTAGAGAGAAATTATCTAAAATAAGTGAGTTGACATTTCTGGAGTAAAAATCCTTGCAAGAAATCTTAGAGTTCAGACTCCCACCCAATGCACAAATCCTGTGTACAACATTTCTGAAACATGGTCAGTATACTTCTGCTAGCACTCTTCAAGAATGCAACATTCACTCAGCGAGAGCTAATTTTCAATATTCTTTGAAAGCATAAGGATTGCTGGCACATTTGCCAGGAACATCTTAAGGATTGGAGATACAGTAGAGAACAAGCAACAAGAAGTAAACAAACAATCACAACTCTGATTAATGATTTGGTTTCCATACTCTCTCCCACAACTCTAGTGACATACTTAATTTGCTTAGTGGTATTTTATATATACATCTTATATTTTACCCTATTGTTCCTTGTCAGACTTGATCTAGTTTGTCATCCCATTTAAATCAGGAAAGAACAGCCAAGAAAATATGCCTGAAATGTTAGAAAGATTATGGAGTATGGAGAAGACATCCAGCAGGCAGTGAACCTACTTCACAAGGGAATGAACCAGGGGAGTCCATTTTCTTTTCTTCCCCATCTAGGCATTGGAGCTGAAGAAAGCTAAGCAGAAGTTGCAGCAGAGGGTTTGAGTGTCTTTGTGGTCATATAGTCAGAGGGAATGGTGCTCAAAGCTGAGGCCTTCCTTTTATGGCAAAAGCTGGATTCTAATTCAGACCCTAGTTAAATGATAATATTTCATGTAGGTGAATTAGAGTGAAGGTGGAATCAGATAGGCAATTCAGTGTATCATGGTATTGTGCACAATTGTTTTAATGCAATCGGTGTTTCCCAGGCAATTCAGTTGTTTAATTGTCGTACTTCTATATTTCAGCATCCGTTGTGTGCTGCTGTTCTGAGGCCTAAGATGATAAAAGATGCAAGGGAATCCTTGGGGACTTCGTTTTCTATCTCACCTCTTTGGTAATTCCAGTTTGGTGGAAAGAGAAACATCAGTGATGGGAATGCCGTGTGGTTGTGCAGAACGAAATAAGTTCCACTTGAATGTATTGGTAATAAAATAAATTGTGAGGACTGGGGTTATAGAACTCATTGTGACTTTAAAAAAGGGAAATGATGGATTTGATTGATGATAATACTGATGATAATTGTGGACATACTGATATGTCTACAACCCAACTGATCTCTATCATCAGTCCATGAAAGTTGCCCTGAGTGACCTCTGTTCCCATCTTCCAGGTACCCTCATATCTGGCAGATTTCCCTGCATCTTTCATACCACTCCAGATGACATGATGATTTTACTGCTTTTCCAGCATGCTGGGAACTCATAAATCTATGGAAGCCTATCTTAGGACACAGTAAACAATTTTCTATCCTGGGGTGTTCACATCATCCTTTACCTCTTCTCATGCTTCATAGGATACCCATCTACCTTTAAATAATAGCCTATTTGGGAAATGTTGCCACCTACACCCCAGGGAGAAGGTATCAGACATATCCATGCCATCCCAATAGCCTCAGCACCTCCTTTCTAGCCTACTCCTCACAAAACCCAGCATAATCATTTCCTTATTTAGGTTGGGAGATTAAAAGAAGAGAATGAGAAATTTAGCTCCTATTGTTTTGCTTTTTATCCTTCACATTTTCTATCTCTGCCTGCAGTCATTTACATTCTCCTAATCCTTGGAATTTTGAAACATAAACCCCAACCATAGGGAAAATCTTGTTATAGTCTGTTTTGACTGTAAATATCCCTGCCTGAGATTTGAGTCTTCCAAGAGGCCTAGTTGCTTTAATGGAGGAAGGCCCAAGTATCAAAGAGAATGCATGAAGATCAAAACCAAAAAACTGAATATTTTGGTTATAATCTTACCAAACTAGCTCCATTACCTTAACAAACCCTTCCTTCTCTGGGTATCAATTTTCACATTGTAAAATGGGGAAAATAAGAGCAACATTGTAGGATGCTTTTAAAAGACTGCATCTCATGTATATAAGCACAGAAATAAAGCAGAAAGAACCCTAAATTTTTAAAGAAGAGAGTATTTAGAAATTAAAGTGAGAAAAAAGATAAAGCAAGGAATCATTTAAGAAATTAAAATAAAAGTTAACTATAAAATTAAAACATTAAAAAATAAAAAGACAAGGCTAGGAGTAATTGAATTTCAAAAAATCAGAACAATAACTATTTCAAATAGAGTAAGAAAAGCTATTAAAGCTATCTAAAATCTTGAGAACGAATAGACAATAAAAGAATAATAGAAATATTCTTATTAAAATACAAATATGAAAGAAAAGAGCAGAAAGCTGAATCACATCTTTGTAGGAAGTTTGGGTCTGAAATGCTGAGCCAACAAGGGTCCATGTTTGTAGAGAAACTTGCCCTTTGACCCACTTCCAGCTGTTCTGGGTATAGAGTGAGATACTGGTAAAGTTTCAATTTCCTACATGTGAATATTCAGTTTTTCCAGTAAGACTTACTGAAGAGGCTGTCTTTTTTCCAATATATGTTTTTAGTAACTTTGTCAAGAATAAATCTTGTGAATTATTATACTGTTGTTGAAAATTAACCATTTATATAAATTACAGTCATATTTGGTTTATTGCCACAAACATTTTAGTACCAATGGAAAAGTTAACACTTTAATGCTGATTAGGAGTTTCTAAACTAAGTCTATGATGCATCATGGCAGCACACTCTAATTTTGAATGCTTTATGTTTATTGGATAGGTTAAAAAAAAACCTGGGCTATCAATAGACTCTTTTTATAAAATGAAGGATGACAGGGTAAAACATCTTTTCAGGGGGGTGGGGACAAGTTTGGGTGGGAAGAAGGCATAAGGTGAGGGTGAATATGGTAGATGTATTCTGTACTTATATATGAAAATAGAAGAATGAAACCTGAAGAAATTGTTTTAAGAAAGAGGAAAAGGGAGAACAGTGGAGAGGATAAATCTAACTAAGATATATATTGTAAGCACATACATAAATATCACAATGTATTCTCCTGTACAACTATTATATGCTAACAAAAATTACATTTTAAAACTAGTTTGAAGTATTTCTTTAAGGGTTTAAATCCATAGCTGAAATTTATTTTAGGAGATAGAGCTAGAATTTAGAAAACACACCACCATCAACTGAAGAGCTTCAAAATTCTCACACCTCAAAATTCCCACTCAAAGATTTTCTAAAACTTCACCTAGGTTGAGCTCATAATGTCATAGAGAGATAATTTGTTCTGGAACAATCATGATAAAGTGGGTGGGGAATCATAGATGATCACTTCAAGTCAGCACATGTCTTTAATGAAGAGTTTGGAAGTGTGGGGGGAAATGTTGGTCACTGTGTAATGCATTTCTCCCAATACCATTCCCATAATGACCTAAAGTTGTGATGTAAGTCACAGTGACACTGCAGAGGTGTATAAACTTGCATTTCTGGGACTCCAGCCATCTGAAACAGCCCCCTCTGCTTTGGAGACAAAAGAGAGAAGCTTGGCCTCAATGGTCTATCAACCCCTCTCAGGGACCCTACCATGGGTGAGACTCTTTTCTAGCTCCCACAGTGAGAAACATGAATCTAGCTCCAATTTAAGTGAGATATATTACAGAATCACTTAACAGTTATTAGAAAAACAATGATGCAAAAATAATGCTAAATGCCCAGCAATGGAGCTCTCCTTTCCCTTTCTCCCATACTACATTAGTAAGTGAAACACTACTTAGTGTTCCTCCTAGACCAGACTTGGGACATTGCATGAAGACACCTCATGCCACAACTTCCTCAAATATCACCTTTACCATATGATGATTTTTTGAGTCTATATTTCCTAAAAATTACATTTATATTAATAATATCTGTGAGGTTAATTATAATTTCTATGCAAAGAGATCTATTTTTCCCTTACTGAATTTCTTTTCTTTTTCTCAGAAATTTCCACACACAAAAAGCTCAGTGTGGAAGGCCAAAAGTCATGTTTTCTCTCATACGTGGAATACAGACCTAATATAAAGACAGCAATGCTATGAAAAACAGGTCATGCTAAGGGAGGTCACATACGAGAGGGGGAGGGCAAAAGAAGGAAATTAAGAAAGTGAAAATAGTTGATTTACTCTCTATACAAGAATTAATATAGAATTTTCAAACTTGCTGAAGTCACCATAAGAAAGGGACTAAGGTAGGAAGAAGAAAAATAGAGGAAATGAGCCAAATCGGCTATAATACATATAAACATGGCACAAGGAAACTTCCTTTGTAGCCATCTTAAACAACCAAAAATCTCATTGCTTTCTTCTTTTTTATACAGAATTAGAAAACAGGAGGGCAGAACAGGTCCTGCTTGGGGAGGTTGGTACCAGTGGGAGGAAGAAGAAGGTAGGGAAATGGTGAAGGAGGGTGAATATGGTGCAAATACTATGAAAACATGTATGTGATGGAAAAATGACACCTGTTGAAACTATTGCAGGAATGGGTGAAAGAGGAATCGTGGAAGGGGTGAATTCAAGTATGATATATCTGATATACTGTAAGAACTTTTGTAATTACCACAATGTACCACTAACTAGCACAACAATAAAAAAAAAAGAAGAAGAGAGGAGGATCCAAGATGGTGACTAGGGTGTGGAAGCAGACAGCACGAGCTCCATGACTCCAAAACCTTGCTGAGATGCTAGAGGCATACTTGGTGTAAATAAAGCACCAATGAGATCAAAACTTCAACACCCTGAATCCCAAGCCCATAGAAAGATTCCCCACACCACATTACACTGAGAAAACTTTTGGGCTGCCACCGCCACCAGCCACCACTGTCTCTGCCGCCACCACCAGCTCCAAACCTGCCTGTGAGACATTCAGCAGACTAAATAGGTGACTGCCATACATCACACAGAATTCCCCCAGCCACCCCTAAGATAAACCAGCACAGCTCGATGGGCAGACTAACTCCCCCAAAAAACCTGAATAGTAAATAATAAACTGTAATCTAGTACACAGCAAAAGGGGCAGGAACATTGAAAGTGCATCAGAGAAAAGGGAAGGGGCAAGGAGTTAATCACAGTGGGAACTATCAGTAAACAAACACTAGAAAGGCAGGAAGGCTGACAGCAGGCAGATGATAAGCCATTCTCTGAAGCAGGTAAGGTAGTGGATCACAAAACTAATCTCCTAAGCCAGTGAGCTACACCCAAAGTCAAACTGCCCCACAAAAATTAAAAACAGACAGCGATCCATCATAACACACTCACAGCAAGGGGGCTGACAGAATACTGGTCCTGCCCCAGAGGAAGGGGATGGGGCAAAGAAATAAGCCCCCAGTGTGCAAAGCGATTTCAACAACACATCAAAAAGATTATTCACCATGACCAAGTAGGTTTCATCCCAGGGATGCAGGGGTGGGTCAACATGAAAATCAATAAACGTAATAAACCACATTAACAGAAGCAAAGACAAAAACCACTTGATCATCTCAATAGATGCAGAAAAAGCCTTTGATAAGATCCAACACCATTTCATGATAAAACCTCTAAGAAAACTAGGAATATAAGGAAAGTGCCTCAACATTATAAAAGCTGAATATGACAAACCCACAGCCAGCATTATACTTAATGGAGAAAAACTGAAACCATTCCCTCTAAAATCAGGAACCAGACAATGATGCCCACTATCTCCACTCCTATTCAACATAGTACTGTAATTCCTAGCCAGAGCAATTAGGCAAGGAGAAGGAATAAAAGGAATACAAATAGGTAAAGAAACTGTCAAAATATCCCTATTTGCAGACGACATGATCCTATACCTTAAAGACCCAAAAAACTCTACTCAGAAGCTTCTAGACATCATCAATAGCTACAGCAAGGTAGCAGGATATAAAATCAACATAGAAAAATCATTAGC